CATTATCTTTGGGGTAATCTGTGTTCTGATTCGATATCCGGTGGATTCAGAAATATTAGTGTATTCAAGGTTTCTCCAAAATACTCTACCCATCTGCTCCGTTACTTTTGATCCGCAGAGATAAGTTTAATTTTTTTTACCGATATAGTCGCTTTGATCTATTTAATTCCTCTAATACGTACTGGGTTGTACAATTAAGTTCCTTTTTATTTCTTATGTGCTCACTCCTTACACAGCTCTCTATTTTAATTCCAGTTTTCCTTCATATAAAGCTTTCCATTCTGTCTCTTTAAACCATATTTCCAAAGTTCGTTTTTTTCCACTATCATCACTATTATAGTATTTAGAGTCCTTAGCAAAACATTTTGTTAATTTTACCAGGATATGCTAATATATTATGGCAACATGGGTCAGCTAATGTCTATGACAGGCTATAAGTTGATGATGACTGACTGATAACTGAATGATTGAACAGTTCATTAAACAAAGTTGTGGAAAGCTACCCACAGACGGTTCAACTAAATAATATTTATTTATTTCTCCTCATGACTAGCTCCATGTGACAGGTTTTTAAAAGTTTTACCAAGCGTTAAACGAATAGAGCAATAGAAATTCACCGACAACTTTAAAAGACTCGTTAGATCACAAATATTCTAGATTGAAAAACTCTAATGAATACTAACTAACCACATTGGTAAATGGGAATTTCACTCTTCTGAAAGGATTTGGACATTTTGCGTTTATTTCACTAATGGCGCGTGCATGCCTATTGCTACTTTGGTTAAACAAAAGTTTAAAGCAATTAGCCCCTTTTATAAATTTCGATGGAACAACAAAATTTCAATTATCCTTGGCTTCCAATGGCTCTGTTGTCAAAATCAGTTCACGGTGAAAACCACCTTCATAATAGCGTTGCTTTATACAATCCCTAAAGGTGATATGAGTAGGAAAGTTAGGGCGAACAAAATGTAACGCCATTTAAGAATTAGTAAAATACTTTCAAAAATAAACAGGAAAAATTCTCGAGAAACTCTGTACTACTTACAAATATAATATATAGTATCTTCGTAATGTGTAAAAATATAACCAAGCTGTTTAATTTTAAGAATCAGAAGATTCACTTCTATTTACAATTATTACCTTTATCGATTATCATTTGGGAAATTCTCTTCAAGTGCGTTTCCAATTAAGACAATCTAGGTATTCACATTAGATACTAAGAATTTCGGCCTTGACAAATATATTTTTATATCTGTTATATTAACTTGAGAGTAATTAGTGTCTACGTCTCATAACTAATGAGAATATCATGTGTTTTTAACATAGGTACAAAGTGACAATAATGAGTTATCTGCCAAAATTTACAGTTTCGTGTGACAAAATAACTTATTGACCAATTAGCATAAACTTCGAAAGACGATATTAATTCTCAACTTATGAAGTGTTAAGCAAATATAATAGTGCATAAATTCTGCTTGCTCATTCCACTTTTATTTACTTCATATTAGGTTTTCTCATGTATATTTTACCGTATAATTACTAGTTTTCAATATGTTGTGTCACTATCAATCATTTTTGGGCACATAGTTTTTCGTTTCTAGACTATAATATGTGGCATTTTTAAGCATTTACATAAATCTGTGGCATTTAATTCATTTAAGAAGGAAATAATATATGTAACAATCTAAGTGACTGAAATTCAATGTTTTACTCATCTGTGAGGTGTAAGTTTCTTCAAGGGAAATAATCAACAATCAGTACATCGAATGTCAACACATGGTTTACAAATTACCTGTGTAATTAACAACTCAACCAATTGTTAACAATGTCGAGTGTGTCGTCTGATGTAATGTTTAGAAGTCGTATGGTGTGAAATATGAAGAAATTGTAGTAAGGTTATAAATTAGACAACCTGATAGATTACCTCATAATTTTGACCAAAACATCTATAGTTTACACAAATCCTCCATATTATTAACCGTCGCGTGCTCACTAACGATTAGCATCAAGATGTACCCCCTGTGTTAGTGAGAAGCCGTGACCATTGGAGTTCGATCCGTGAAGAGTATGAGGCAGTTATCCACGACGCCCAATGAATGAAGGTTGTTCAAGATCGTAAATTGGTTAAAGCTAGACCTTAACTCCGTTGGATGCCAGCTTTGTGGTTTAAAATTTAAGTGTTCACAAGCGAGATAAAAAGTCCTAGGTTCGTTTCCTGATATTAAAGTTGTTGATATGCATTGCTGACTAGTTTCATACTAAGACGAAACAACCGTTTATTGAATCCAGGTTTTCAGTGATAGTCGAGCTAAGATCAATTCGTGGCATAAACTGTGGAAATATTATGTGTTTTAAACGAAACGTTCTATAGAATGAGGACGAATAAATAATTCTTCACAAATGTACAGGCATCAATCCTGAGGTTTGACTTGATAGTTTAAAAAAAATTGAGTATTGGGTAGAAAGTTAATAATAAATATAATACTATTTAAGCTTGTGTTAATTCAATTCGGTTATTTATTTATTTACTCTGAAGAAATGGTTTTCACTAAGTCGCAAACATAATTTTTCTAGTCATTGGGATATTATATATATATAAAGTAATTTTTCAGTGAAGTTGTACTCTCTTAACGTTCTAAAGAGTTATTTTCATTTCTTGTGCATCCATTCAATATTTGTTGTTATGCAGCAATTTGCATTTTTGAACATCGTTTCTATTTGTTAAAGATTCATTTTTGAGTTTGGATAGCTACTGCTTATTATTGAAGTGCATTGTAAACAACTCTTCAATATATATTGCAGAAAACCTTTCTTTTTTTCAGCTGTTTCATGATGCGTTGAAATATATTAGATGTTTGCAAAACACATAATTTTAATTGCCATGAGTAGCAGTACAGTTTTGCAAGCAACTTCTTACACGTGACTCAGCCATTTGGTCTGAATCATTCAGTATATTTATTACCTTTATTTATAATCTTATAGTTAACAAAACGTACAAATAAAAAGGGACGGAAATGAAAGTTACAAAGCAATCAGTGTTTATTTGGTTGTTCTCATCAATACAATTTCACCACTGAATGGTTATTTCTATTTCCGTACTAGATACAAAGCAACAGTATTTCTTACTTATATTTACATCTTTATTCAGTTGATTAATAAATGGCCCCATTGAAATTTATTTTACTGTGAACAAACACTCCGTATAGTGGGAAACTTCAGGTTTGACTATATAACATGTTAAGTCGTTAAAAAGCAATTCGTAAAATATCACGACCGAGGTTCGACTTGATAACTTCTGAAGGAACGACTTGAACTACGCTACAAGACGTCAGAATTTTCTACTCGCTAGGATATTAAAAATATATCATTATTGTTAGTAATAGTTCAAATTTCATTGATTGAGAAAGTAGATACTTTCATTTTAATATATTTGAAAAGCTTAACATCCCTTTCATACAAACAGGAAGTTTTTCAGTTCGAACACTAACATCGTTGCAGTAACTACAACAATCTATTGCTCCGTGATAACACTGCAGATGGGAAGGCCATCATTCAATTGAAATATAGAGTATGACATATAGGAAGTGTTAATTAGACCGTACTTAATACTTACAAAACGAAAGAGTTAACCACATTACACAATGCAAATTTCCTTGTCAGCTTTTATGCACTAAGTCAACCTTATTTGATGCATTCAAAATTCTTCATTTATTCACGATAAAAAACGTTATTAATATCTAGGCACAACTGAGTGATTGGATTTGCTGAAATCAATTTAGTTAGGATTAAGTCTATTCTATGAGAAATTTATCTGTTCAGTCATGAACAAGGATCGCATCATTTTATCAGTCAGTTGTTACATTATAACAAGATATCCACAAACTCTCACCTTTTTTTACTGTATGTTTTCACACTATATTTTTGAAAAAATCCACTTGCACATTTGTATCTTTGTAATTAAAATGTTATTATTTACTTAAATTTTCAAACTTATGAACTCAACAGGTCACTTAAAGATAAACTTGTTCCGATTCATTCATTGATAAAGACAATACTAACCTTGAATAAATTTTAATCAATTACTACAAATATAAGAAATTCACTAATTATGGTGGTATCATATTTCTTCAACTCGATCACATCATTGATTAAAGTTTATAAGATGAAAATGAGGTTTATTCACTATGTTCGTCTTTAGATATAATTTTTGTTATCAGTCGATCGTACTTTCACAAAAACTATTTAAAATGTTTAACTTTTTAATATAGCGATAATTATTTGGTAAAAGCCGTCGAATCAATGATTACAGTGTGAATATACCTTCCTAGAAATCGTAAGTGAAAATCGTTATATTTAACCTTGACTAGGTTAAAACAAACTATATTTATGAAGTGTTTAAAACATCAAAAGTGAAATTCGAATAGAAATTTCGCTTTAAACAACGTCGCTTAATTGATGCTTGCTTAGTGAATACAATCAGCCTTAAAGAAATATTATTCTTTTCAAAGTTGATCTTTTTAAGCTGAATATTTATTAACGCACATATTAAACATTCGTGTAATAACTGGTCAATATATTGTTTGCTTATATAAAATGTATGTTTCAATTTTAATATACTGAGTAATTAAATAATCATTTTATAGAATAAACTAATCGGAATCACAAACAACCCTATTGGTTATTCATTAAGATCTACAAGAAAATAAACTTTATCAGAAGTTAAATCTTAAATATCAATATAATAAATAAATTTTACAATCATTTCAAGTTTAAAGGAGTTGCTTTTTAGTAGACCCTGAAGAAAAACAAACACATTCAAGAAGATGCTAGTATGAAATAGGAATTCTTACTAGATTAACGGTTAGTAAATAATTCTACTTAACATCAAATATAAGTTATCGTACAGATTATCATCACCTTAATAGTGAGGTAGAAAAAAAGATTAATTCTTTCCACAAAACTTTAACATACTAGTAGTGAACAGAACAGAAAACAATAGATTTATCAAGGAAATATGTATTTTGTAATACCGTATATCGTTACAAATAATCTAAAATGGAAAATAAGATGAGAACTTTCCATATCAAAAACTGAGACAACATTCAGAAGCAGTAAGGTTGTTAAAATCTACTCACCATTAACTATAAAATACAAACACATTGCTGAAGTTACTGTTTTCTTTTCTTCCTCAATACGAAAACATTCAGAATGTAACAGATCCATTGCAAATCAAAAGAAAAAGCAGCAATTTCTTAAAGTATATTAGTCATACAAAACTATGAATTGTTTATACACACATTTGTCTAGAAAGTGTACACATAAAACCTGTATTAACATACTATTTAAAGCTTAATAATTCATGTTGGATGAAGAACAAGATTCGTTGTATAAATTTCCGGTAGATGTAAATTATTCATTTCATTTAATTTGTTTGATACTTCACGTAGAAAATTTTGTACCATAATTAGTTTGGCTTCAGTATAAGGCAAATTATTCCAAGTACAAATATTAAACTGGAAAGCAAAATACACAAACATGAAACAATTAAATAACTTCTTTAGTTCTTTAAATAAATTTACGTTTATTCACAATTCTGTACAAAACAAAATTTTTCGATGCATTTCACTGGTGATAAACACTCACTATTACCCAGGATTAGTCATGAATTCATGGAGCAAAAAAAACAAAATAACAAGCCCTATAAAGCACAAGATTATATGAACGATCTTAATTTTGTGACGTTTAAGATGATGAGATATCGTGTTGAATTGTAGAATCAATTTAACTAGAAAAATGAAACAACTAAAATTCTTCTCGATCGTCTTCTATATGCCAAACAAAATCGATCATTTTTTATGTTTTTTTTTCTAGATCCATCCCGTCAAGACCATTATTTGAAAAGGTAATAAAAATAAAATCTGTTTTACAAGTTTTAATCTTTCACTTTTGCATCATTCAGAATATTTATTATCCACTTTACTTCTTTACAAGAGCTTTCTTTGTTACCGAACAAAAACGATCATATTCACGGTTAAATATTGTTTTTTTGAAAGAAAAAACGGATAATATAATTTTTAATTATCATAGAAATCATTATAATTATTCAAAATGAGAAAATATTAGATTAGAAATTGTATTAGATTGATTGTCACATTTAAACAGAATGATTAGAATGTTGAAAATTCAATCTTACCGTAAGAACAGGTAAACATTGTGTTTCACGATAAAAGTTTAACAGTGAAAGTAACGGACCTTTGGCGACCTCATCACGATTTTCATTTACAATACAAATAACGTAATTATATTTACCTGAAAAAGTTGAAAATAAAAAACAATTTCCAAGAGCAAATTTTAGAAGAAATAAAGTGTCATACTTTTAAATTAAAACTTATGAAAATGTATCTATCTTAACAAGACTATATTCCACTAAATGTCTATAAATGTACTACATATTGAAGCTAATTCATTTATAGAAAGACGAATTGACAGTTAAAAATTATAGGAATTGTTGGAAAAAATGATGTATAATTATAATGAAACCCAGGAAAGAGTTCGATGAAGAATCCTTGTGAGCGGACTATGCCCCTCCACGAGGGATAACATGTGTAAGAAGGTAATTATAACGAAACAATTTAGTTGATCAGTTTAGACAACTGTTCAAAAATCAACGAACTAGACAATTTTTTCTCGGATTATATAATCGCGTAACATCATTCGATCAAAGAGTTCATATCATTGGAATAATTTATATTAGTAGTTGAAGTGCGATATTTAAGATTATTAGGAAACTGATCATGATGATGTATTATTCTCAGTCATAAGTTATTTTATTCTTGATATAAATAAACTTCATATGTTCAAGATCAAATTCATAAGTAAGTAAGCAGTGTGACACATCTATATACCAATATATATTTCGAAATTAGAAATAAAATATCAAATAAATAAACATAATTTATTCATTTTGATTAATCAAATAATTAAAAGAGAATGTTATGAGCACGAACAGAAAATATTGAATTACCTTCGTGTTGTTCGCATACTTGTCTGAACAGAATATCTACAGTTATTAGACAAAAAGAACATTGATCGGTAGTGAAATGCTGTTTGGGTAAAACGTGATTAAACAAGCTATGGAAATAAACTGAATATGATCAATAATGCCATTGTACAATCTTTTTTTCTTAATTCAACTAGTTTTATAGAGAGTGAAGTGATTTTGTCTATTCCTAGTTGCAATCAATGGAAACAATTTTAGACTAGATCACGAATCATAACTAGTCATTATCCAGCTATAAGATTTTCTACTCTTCAGTTGTTTTCGAATCAATTTTGTATCAACTGATAGTAGGTTAGTAAAATCGTCCATTTGACGAATAAGACATATAAAATTTACTAAGGGCAATTTTCTGCCAAATAGTACTTACAATTAATTTCCAAAGAGCACATTTTTTCTGAATTTATAATTTAACTTTTCTCAATACCATTATAATCTACATAGAGTAATTTAAATGATAATATAATGGTGAAATAGGTCATAGTGCATATTTATGGTAGGGATAAGTTAATTTGCTAATCTGCCAAACATTAACTCGAACGATTCATACTATCGAGTTAATAGTAGTAGTATATAATTTACGTGGAAAAATTGAACTGTATCTATTCTGATGTGAGAATAACAACGACTAATTTATATCTAAACATCCGATTACAAGTTATTTTTAACTAGAAAAGTATAAAAGTTTTAACACTCATACAAAAATCTTATTTACCTACATTAGAATACCTTTAGTTACTTGCATATCCTAGCAGTACCTACCAACATTAATTTCACAAAGATGACCATGATATTAAATTACTTAAATAATGAGTAAATCGATAGATACGTCGAAAAACATTCAATAAATGTTTATGATACGTAGTTTAAAAAAAACATATCATGATATGACAAGGAAGAGTCAAGTGATATACTAACCTGCAAAGTATACGTTACTATTATCACTATTAGGATACAGTATACACTGAAATGTATCCATGTCTAATTCTTTGAACAGGTCACTATTTTTAAGGAACACATGGTATAAACGATCCACGGTTTTTCTTTTATTTATCAATTTTTTGGAAATCCCTGGATCATTTATTTCATTGCTAAAAATACAATAAAAAAGTTTTAGTGCATACAGATTCGAAAAAAACTGAGACTTACAATGGTAGGGTCCTGATATGTCAAAGCGAAAATTAGAGGAATGGTAACTTCCAGGATTTATTTACGAATTATCTTATTGTATAATTATTAAGTAGCTACATTACGGTTTATCATAAGCTTCTGCATAACCCATAAATTACTATCATGCGATTTGTTGGTAATCTGTTATTCAGAGTCTCCTCTATTCACAACCACAATTAACTTGCGTATGTACAATTGAAAATTTTCATTTTATGGTGTGATAAGGACCGGTATTTCTATACACAAACAACGTTTGTTTTAAATGTAAATATAATATGAGCTTTCGGACATAAGGGAGGGAATATGGAGAAGCCAGAGAACTACGGATTGACAGGAAATGCATTTTCGGCACAAGGCTAATAATTCTGATCAGGTGTGTAATTGGTCGAGTCAGAGAAAATAATAGACGTCAAATATACTAAATAAGAATTAGGATTCTGACTGGTGACTCGGCACGAAGTAATGGTTAGCCATTAAAAGACAGAACATGCTTTAAGTGTTTGAAAAATCGAACCATACTTAACAAAAATATGTTACAATTTTCATTCATTAACAGGCCATCACATAAAACTGAACTCCAGAGAGTAACTGAGTGACTTCTTTAGATTTCTAAGGCTGATTCAGGTTAAATAGATTCATTTCGACAAGTAAAATACAAGATATTGAAAAACGACTAAACGTCTAGTTTTATAGTTTAGTCTTAATCCCGTTACAATTGAAAATCACTTTAAATGTCAATAATCCACTTCAAATTTATCTGAAAACTAACAAAAAGCACCATAATACGCGTTTACCTTTCGCATAAATTTTCAATTATTTTGTCATCTATCTGTGTGTGAAACTTGTGTAATTATCTATCATACAAGTACATGTCGACTGAAAATAAGAACTATAAATTTTCTTAAGATTAATTGAAAACGATTTGTGAGTATAAATGAAGAAAACGAATGAGCGAGTTGAAATTCCATGTATTTATGGTAGGCATATAAAATGATCAAGTGAAACTTTTCCATGAGTCATATATTTGAGACTATTCTCTGAGACTTATATTTATCATCAACAAATTTCCATCAAAAGTAAATGCGTTAGAAGGTGAAATTCACTCACCACCCAAACATGAGAAAAAAAATCTTAATCAGGTATCGACAATATGTATACAATACATTCTAACCACCTCTTTGAACTTTGACCATGGACGTTAATAGCACTAAGTCTTCCACAGGACATCTGAACGAGATTATATTCAAAGCAATATAAGCATTTTTATATGGAAAAGTGGGCATTTCGCAACCAATAATGGCATTTACTTAGATTACATTGAAAGATTAAATCAAATGGTTCATGATTAAAGTCAAGTAGTGTGAAAGAAGATATGGTGTAAAACTGTAAAATTAACGACTATCAATGAAATGCAACTGTTGAATTTATTTCATATGAAATGAGAGAATCCGATGACAACTGCTTTGATATAACCAATAAACTCATTTTACAACCCATGAGAAAATTAAATATAACAATTCCTTTTGAAATTTACTTGTTTTCTGGATGAAATAAAAACTAAACAAACAAATTATAGTGTTCATTATCCGAACAGCCAAATTAATTATTAAATAAAAGTTAGACAAACCTTTGTAAAAGTCCAAGACCACAATGATAATAAAATCTCCAATCATCACTAGGTAGTGAAGAAACTGACAGCTCTAAATGAAACCAAAAAAAAAAAACAAAAGAACAATGACTCAATACATATTCAATAACTAATGAAGAAACATAAAGAACAGTACACAAGAATTTTAGTTTTAATCGTATATCATCGTATTAAAATATCTTGAAGAGATTAATTTTGAAAAAGTCATATAGTGAATTCAGAATAAATGCTTCAAAAAGAGTTTCGATCAATCAAAATCTCTATTTTTTATCTACATGGAACACAATTGACTTTAATTAAGTTTCACAAATATATTATTATGGTAATCCCAATAGTCTTAAAAAGTAAAATAAACGAATAAGTGTGCATTCATATAAGATTCCCACTTTCAAGAAACTGTAGTTTCTCACAGTATATAACAGACAAAATGGCATAAAATATTCCAGATAATTGACATTCTCTTTCTGAGTAATTTTTAACAAATTTAGTAGAGAACATAATTCACTAAGAAATTGAATATATACTACATTGAGTTCTTAAACTCAATTAACTTGCTTTATTAAACTTCACTTAGTCGAATACCATATGATTAAATAGAAGAGATATTGAATATAAATAACTAGATTGATTAAATTTCTCAATCATGTCTGGTTACTAGTGAATTTTATGAATAAAAGTTTTATATTCACTAGACTGAGAACAGGGATAGCATTAAGTAAAATATACCAATTTCTCTTACAAATTAAAAGTTATTTAATCATTTTTATTCATTGAACTGGTTTAATATAAGTTGCAAAATGTAAAAAATGTAATTTTCTACTGATTGAGATTTTACAACTATATTATTTTTATAATTAAACTAAAATTCGATTTTGACCCATTAAATAAATTTCCTGATTAACAATCCATATAACAATATTCAGTTTATATCATGGACTGATGTTAGTTCGAAAATCAATAAAAAAAACTAGTACTGGACAACTATTTCGTCCTTGTACGGTGTGTACCCACAAACCCACAGGAAACTGAACCCAAAACCTTCAATCTCGTGGTGAATCCTTAACCTTTAAACCAATGAACAGACATTTAATATCTTAAATGATTAAATCCAATCAATTCGTGATGGTGCACGACCAGGAAAATAACATCTTTAGAAAAATTAACAATAACCAATAAATGATCATTATGAAAAGACCATTTTTATTTAATGCTGAAGACAAACGTAACTCGAAATGTAATACGGATATGGAATAGCGCACTAGTCTATCTATCAAAGGTCCAAAGAGCACTAACACTTAATGAATTTCAAAAATTAGCGCAACAACGACTATATTGTTTTAAAACTATACACGCATGTGCATGAACTATGAGGTTCAACATGGCCAATCCTATATCAAATCTGAAAATGAGATTTGATACCACTCATAAAGATTGGCATAAATTCTGTTTCTCAAAAATCTATATACAACCAAAGTATCGGGAAATGAACTTTTATGAAAGAAATGTCTCTAGTCGAATCCTTTTGGGGACCCTAGAGTGTACATTAAAGAAAAATGACTCTTCTCAGTGAATACCTACTGACTACAAGTTGAACGATGTAATAGAGCATCATAATGTAAAGCTAAAAAAGTACACTTCATTCGGTGAAATTTGTCAATGAAGTTGACGTAATTAATGACATAAAATGTTATGTACGAAGCCCAGACAAGCACAATGACACTTAAGTGGGCTTTCTCAGGGCCTAGTGTTAAATACAACATCGACGACTGTTTTTTACAGCTACTTCTTTATAGCTAATAAATTCAACCCAATTATGAACCCAGATTATATCCCAACAAGTTGACATTTATGGAAAACATTAGAGCATTATTGTTGCTTTATGGAGCATGGTTTTATTGAAATTAGATGTATGCAAACGCTAAAGTAAGCGAAATTGAATCAGTCAGTCAGTAACAACGTAGAACTTCGTACGTACGAACATCAGTTCGAGTTGCAACACCACATTAGCACAGATATGCAGTTGTCAATTCAAATCCCGTAGTGATAGAGGCGGTAAAGGTATAAGCAGTATTCGGAAAGATTGGGGTTTGAAGATGTTATTTAAAGAGTATAATCCAGTGAAATAAATTTGGAAAGAGAAAAAAAGAGACAATGAGGATCCAGGAGATTAGAATTTGGAAGAACACAAAGAGTAGATGCACCTGCGCCATTGCAAACGATTTTGAACCATGTCATTCAGGATCTCTAACCATCGGTTGCTATCATCTCGCGGTCCCCTACCAGGTAGTCTACACCTACCAACATACTGCCCGGGTGCCCAGACCGAAGCAGGAACAACGTAAAGAGATGCAGTCACGTGGGAGCCGGCGACCAACAATTGGTTCATACGCCATTTTTTCCTTAGGATCCTGGAGCCTATGTACACCATCGGTTTGGAATCAGGGTTTTTCAACTCCCCTGGTTGGGTCCTCCATATGCACTCACCCGGTTAAAGCGCCGGACATTCGCTTGTCGTCCTCTCAATTTAGTAAACAACACCCCCGCCACGAGAAGGCAGTGGTTGTAAGCACGTGGCCAATTGAAAGCATTCGAGAGGGAGAGCTGACTCTCCCCACTCTCGGCCGTACCAGGGCATCCGACTTATTACGGATATGAACAATGAGAATTGTTAGTATAAATAAAATTCGAAATCTATCGAAAATGCACAGGGAACCATTTAGTTACAAGGTCTTGCCTAAAAATCTTCAAAAATGGAGAAGTCTAAATACTACTAAGATAAAATTGTGATCAAATACGATGGCATTTAGTAGATGTTACCATTTAATTAAGAGGTAGAACGGCTTTGATAAATCTTTCGGAATTACACATCGTACAGATAGAACCTGGACAGAGAACACTAATGGCTATTGTGTCATGGTCATGGTTTGAAAAATCTGAAAGAGAAATTCAGAAAGGCTTGAGAATAGCTCTGGTCTAATTTGCAGATACAGTTCAGTGGCTAGTAATGAGCTTAACCGAAATTTTGTCTTAAACTCTTACCAACATAGTTAGTTGAGAAATGAACTGTACGTGTTTAGTTATCAACCGTCATAATATGGAGTAATACAGTGAAAATATTGTAGAACTTTGGTCAAGAAACAGTACTGATCCATGTAACCACTGACTGATGACTTGAACAATGTGAGAACCTGAAAGTGCATAAACCTATAGTTGTATCCTATGAATAAAAAGATAGAAAAACGTGTGTTATGTGGAAATGTCCACCTTATTTTATAATGTTCTCATTTTATTATTGTAAACTTATTTGTCTACACTTTTGGAACTTTCTTTTATAATTATGAGTTGTTTCTATTAAACTGTTTAGAACTATGAGAATATGTTAATGTCCAATACTATTTCCCATACTCAAATTATCCAGTAAGGTGATTAGATTTCCTTTACAATGAGTCCATTTACATATAACCTGGTTTGAGCTCTCTTTATTGTTTATGAAGGCTGATGATACCATTTGGCTGTCCAAACCAAATTAGATGAAACTTAACTCTTTCCTGTGACGTTATAGTCAACAGTCAAGCAGTTTACCTCTCATTTTATAAATATGACTGTTAGTAAAAATTATCCCGATCGTTGCAGCGACCTTGACGTGGAAGCCGGGCTTGTCTATCGTAATGAACAAGTCGAGCTATACTGGATGGAACAATCACTCCCCAAGGTCCTACCATGCCAGACAGTTCGGTTAAAGAGCAGCAGACCCACGGTTCGAGGGCGAAGTCGTACTGTTGACTGTACAGAGGTGTGATGGCAGTAGTGGTTCCTTCAGATAACCAGCATACCAGCGATGCTGCCTTCCCACAAGAAATGGTGGAGTTAGAAAAGGCCGACCCTAACATTGTACATCTAACCTTACTCCACGGATATCCGCCTCTAGCAGTAAGGTCTCAACAGAAGGTCGTGTGCGACCAACCTCAAGCAATTCTCACTTGGGCACTGTGGTCACGATCTCAGGTCACTAAGATTACTTCTAACCCAATTTCATTTTCAGGTACCTCCAGAAGAACCCCTCTACGGTGTGGACAACTGAGAAGTGATAACCACCCTCATACCTCTAAAAACACTCCTGATCACTGTATTCATAATCAATATTCCTCTTCAATTTCTATTATTCCTCATACCTCGACTTTAAACTATAAACTTCCTCCTCAAGTGACACCAAGACCAACGGTCCTAGCGCGCGTCACTGTCCCAGATCTACTGAAACCCCGCCCCAAATTACACATTGGAACCTTCAACGTACCCACCCTACGTCAAATCGGCCAGCAGGACCCCTTGACTAAAACCCTAGAATCTCGTACCATCGACGTATGCTGTGTCTCTGAGACACGCATATAGGGTCCTAGTGTGGTCATTCACTTGACCTCACCTCGCCAAAACGGAGAATCGATGAGATACACCCTCTGTTTATCTGGCGACACGATGGCTAGTTCTCGTGAACTGGTGGGTGTAAACAAGGCACTGAGTACGAGGGCAGAACAAGCACTATTAGGATGGATCCCCGACAACAGTCACCAATGTGCTGTTCAGCTAAACGTCTCCGTAGGAACTCAGAATGATAGGGACACACGTCGTTGCCTCATCGTCGTTTCTGCCTACGCTCCCACTGACTGCAGCCCGGATGCAGTGGAAGACGACTTTTACAGAAAGTTCTCTGAACTTCTTTAAGAAGCTAAACACTCAGACATAGTACTCGTAGCAGATGACTTAATGCCCAGGTAGGTAGCTTAAACCAAACATCAAGACACTTAGGTGGGTATTTTGGTATTTCGGCTCAGAGAACAGATAATGGTGACCGTCTGCTGTAACTGTGCTCAGACAATCGTCTACTCCTGACAAACACTGATTTTGAGTATAAGGAGAGAAATCGTTTAACATGACGACCCCCTACACCAAACCAGCGACAGAATCAAATAGACCATATTGTCATCGGTCATCGTTGGAGAGGATCGATAGAGGATTGTCGCTCATTCTGGAATACCTGCTTGGACTCCAACCATACTTTAATGCGGGCACGCATCTACTTGCGCCTCACTGAACACAGAAAAGCCACGCTAAAAAGACCCATTAGAATTGAATTGAGTGATGATAAAACTAAAAGTAGATTCCATGGACAACTGAGGTCACACTTGGGTAGTTCTAAAAACGAGGCCGACCCAGATATTGCTTGGAAAGACATACAAACAACTGTGGAAACAGTAGTGACATCTGTTAGTGATTTGAATGTACCTGCGACATTGCAAACGATTCTGAGTCATATATATATAACTTCATTTAGCTGAACTTTAATGTCTTCTTGGTGTGGCTTTTCTACATACAGTTAGTCAGTCAGTCAGCTACAACGTAGGATCAGTTAAAAGAAGACAGACATGTGTTCGCACTAAAACACAATCAGAGTCTAAATATATTCTCTAGGATGAGCGACAGTCTTTTATCGAGCCCGTCGAACGACGGCTGATGGAAATGTGGTATATTTGAGTCCATCGTTGGGTAGATTGTAGGGGTCGTCATGTCCGACCACTTCTTTCCCTATGCTTAGTTGTTGCTTCCTAAAAATAAACGGTTATCTGCGCATAGTGGCAGCAGCCGGTCGCTGAGCCTCGGTACCGCGAGACCCACCTAAATGTATTTCAGTTATTTTTGGATTACCTGCAAAGACATTAAAACCACTTGCCACTATTAGTACATCAGAGCGTTTAGCTTTGTGAGGGAAGGTGGAAAGCTTTCTATAAAATTCGTCTTTAACTACATGGGAGTTACAACCAGTGTGCGTATAAGGAGAGACGAGAAAAAGGAAGCGGTGGGTGTCTCTGTGTCCGAGTTTCATTGTCTTGTTTAGTCGAACAGCGCACAAACGGTTATCTAACGGAATACACTTTGACAGAGCCTTTTCTGTTTTGGATCTTAACGATATACTTGCACCGACAATGCCACGGGAAGTAACACTGAGGTCTCCAGATAACTGAAGGGTTAATCGTGACGGTTCTTTATGGTGATAACGTGAGGTCAGACGAATGACCATGCTAGGATCCCGAATGCGCGTTTCGAAGTCAAAACATACATCGATAGCGCGAGATTCTACTGTCTTAGCTGAAGAAACATGTTTTCTGTCTGACACAGGGTTCGAACATTGAAAGCACCAACATGCAGTTTAGAGAATATCTTCAGGAGACCAGGAATAACCTTACGTGAACTCGAATCATTAGCATTGATGGTGCGTAGTGATAGGGATATATGAAAAAGGTTGTTGGTGGGAGACATGATAAGTATTAGGATGTGACGAAAGAATTTAGCCGTGGAGATGGTCTAGGATGCTGTTACAGGTATGGGGGCGGTTGTCACTTCCAGCTGTCCATACTGTGGAAGAATATTTCTTCAGGGAAGCGAAATCGAAACTTGATTGATGGTGATCTTAACGACCCGAGAGGGTGACCACAGAGCCCAAAGGACAACTGCTTGAGCCGGGTACACACGGCCTCTTCATTGGAAGTTTTTGATGTGCTGGAGTCTGTTGGGGAGATCTAGAAAATTCCTCGAAAAAAGATAAAAGGGGCTTTGAAAACGTTAAGAAGCATCTTATCCAACAAGCACTCAATAAAGTTTTGTTAGAAACATCTAGAAAGTGAAACGTTATATGTCGCGTTTCTGATTGGATGATTACCTATACTGCTATTATGTTTAGTAGCGTCCCAGCATTTTCCGGAAACCTAAGGTCATCTAAAATGCATTAAATACCCTAGATTTCCTCTACATAAACGGACCTTGGAGTAAAGTGTGCTTTTCATATTTCGCGCCTTTTCTCTCGTGTTGTTTGCCGTGTAGATTAGCCTGGAGGTTATTAGAAGAGCTTAGGAGACCGAATCTGGCGTTCAAATACAAGATTTATCAGAGCCGTACTTCAAAAGGCCTTGCTGCCGGAGACGGGAATCCATGGGGTAATATGAGGTGTGACATGTTTAGGATCGACCTTTTATAATTCCTTCATTCAGTTGTAAGAAGGTGGTATCACTGCAGGTGCTGTCGCACCCCTCTACAGTTAGCAGGACTTCGCCCTTGAACCTTAGGTCCCTGCTCTTAATCTTACCGTTCTCCAACCGAATTATCTGACATGGTATGACCTAAAGTAGAAAAAGTTCCGGCCGACAAAGATTGAGTAGGTCATCACAATAGACAATCCCAATCACCACGTCAAGATAACAGCCAAAGTCAGGTACCCATACGGGGACTTCATGAATCAAGTATGAAAATTACGTAATTATAAAAAATGGGTGGATGAAATGCAAAAATATTTTGAATACAAATATCATACTATAACTATCAATCTTATGTTGACCACCTCATTGAGAAAATGACTTCCAACGAATACTCTGCCTGATAATCGATCCACATTAAAATAGAAACCATCAAATAATATAGCCTTAAGTTTTGTATATATGATTATTTGTTAATTATTATTTCAACTAATACATTTTGACCTGGAAATGTTTAGGGAACCAACTTCGGAACTCTTAGTTTTAAAACAGTATATTGTGTAACTCAAAAAATAATAGAATATTGACTTTAAAAAGGTTGGAATTTTTTCCATTTGTATAAGATCACACATAACATCTAGTCACTTACAAAACTTTCTACATGATATAACTAGTGAAGAAAAAACAATGACAAACCGTCAAATCAAAACAAATTGGACTTACTTTCAGTTTCATTACTATTTTTAGAAAGTGGGGTAAGTAAACATTTAGCCATATTCATATATAATTGTAGCTGAGAAAATTCAGTTGCTAATGATGTCGAAATGTTAGAGGAAACATCATTGTTAAGTTTTTCCATTGCATCATTAAAATATTCAATAAGGGAATCAGCCTTGTGACCAAATAAAGACAAAGAATAAGTAATCTGTGCTAAACACTTCAAGGAATTATAATCTACTATTTGCTGACTTGTAACGTGCTGACATATATTACTGAACAATCTTTGGACCCAATCAGCAGTAAATACTTCGTACGGAATAAATATACTTTTAGATATTGACACTGTATTGTTGTTGTGATTACGACAAGGTGGTTTAATGAAATATTGTAATTCTTCTTCACAATTTCCACTTGCACCATTAAAATTAACTGTATAATTAGCTAAAGCAGCAAGGATAGCGTTAATCCACTGGGATTGATTTATACTGGGATGATAACCTGATATTCGTAGTTTACGTGATATTTTAGCTAGACAACTAAGAGACAAACAAGTTGTTAAATGAAAACAAGCAAAAAATAACTACTATAAATAGAATACGCAATACGAACCACTTATATAGTGATAATGAAACCGTTCTCTAAGCTACAAGTTATTTGTTTAGTGATCGTTAATAGTAGTGTCTAAGATGTGAATTTCATTCTGTTCTAACAACACGTCGTCAGTGTTTCGTAAACAAAGTGATAGAACCACAAGGATGACTTTGTATATAACAGATATTAAGTTTTCTGAGATTTCTTATTATTCATTATTTTTAAACAAATTTAGCTATTTTGATCTCAATAGAATTTAGATGCATTAATGCCTGAAAAACTGGGGAGATTTTGAAAAATTGTGAGGAAAATCCACTTAACGTCCCTTTGAAAATCTCGTTACGTGTACGTCCATCCGGGAATCCTGTGGCAGCTTAATCTGATTTGCTGGTGTTGGAAAAGGTGATAGATCTGAGGCATCACTAATCGATTGGATCCCAGTTGACAGCCGATTATGAGCTGTTATATTAGAAAGCTCCGTCAAAGTGAGAAGAAATCGATATGAGAAACTAGGTTTTTTCGTTATCTCCGCCTATGCCCTCGATAGATTGCAGACTGGATGCAATCACCGATGAGTTGTAGCACTGGTCAAATGATCTCCGGAAAGAGTTCGACAGGTTTTATGTTTCTGGACGGAGAATCAGATGCACAGGTTGGGCATCTAGATACAGAAGAGTCATTAGGAGGGGTCAGTTGTGACTTGTTGGTCGGAGGTTAGATAACGATGACCGCCTACTACAATTTGGCGTACACTACAACGCCTTTCTGACTAGCAACAACTTTTGGTACAGTCATCACTGATATGTTGCCTGGCGTGCTCCCTCTGCATCTCAAACCTGGACTCAGTTTGATCACATCACAGTCAGCTACCGCTGGCGTGGCTGTGTACAAGACTGCTGCTCCTTTTGAAGTACTTATCTGGACTCTGATCATGACCTAGTTTTTGCTAATGTTGTCTTGCGTTTCAGTGGACAACAAACTCATTATAAGATCGATGTCAGCAAAATGGTTGTGGCTTCTGTTGCAACTAAATATCAAACCGAGCTAGATTCTAGGCTAACTAACAACCCACCGAAAAGTAAGGATGAGCACTGGCTGCATTTGTAAAACGCTATTAAAGTCGCAGCTGCTTCTGGAAACTGCCGGAAGCTCTTCCAAACCATTCCAGTCGCTGGCAGTATGAAGTCGGGTGAAAGTGAAACAATCTGTAAAGCTGATGGGATGCCAGTCAAGGACATCTACCGACGTCTTGGACGATGGACAGTCTTTTGAAGGACAGTTTAACTGGTCTGCTGTGCCGATTACATCGGTTAGACTGACCTGTCATACTTAACCAGTGTCGACTGACTCACCTAACGAGGTGGAAGTCCGAGAGGAACTCTAATTCCTGAAGCGTCACAAACCACCAGGCCCAATCGACTTACTCTGGCCCTGTATAAAAGTGGTGGCGACCCTTTTGTCAAGCAACTGAATGGTTTGTAAAAGTTCATGAATCAGAAAGTATTCCAACTTCGTGGAAAATGTCGTTAGTCGTCCCAATAATTAAAAGGGGTTTAACCCGTGCGACAACTATTAAGGGATAAGTTTAATTCCAACTGCGACCAAACTGTTGGCTTCCGTCATATTTTGTAGATTGTTAAAAACTCAGGAAAGATTGATTCGTGAGGAGCAGGCTAGTCTTATTTCTAGTTGAGGATATATTGATTAGATGTCAACCCTTCGCCAAATGTTAGGACTATTATTATTATTATTTGAACACATAGATACTGGTACAAGGAGGTACCAAATACATATGCGCCACACAAATCTCATTTGATTTATGCGAGGGTTGTGATACTGCCCAGGTGCCCGAACCGAGGCAGGTAGTTTTCTTAGGTAGCCACACCCCGAAATCTTGATCTGAAGGTTTAATCCACAAGGCAGTGGGACAACTTTGGGATATGCAGTCCCATAGTAGCCGGTGACCAACAATAGGTTCATACGCCACTTGTTCCCTCAGGATACTGGAGCCCATGTGCACCATTGGTTTGGAATCAGGGTTTTCCAACTCCCTTAGGTGAACCCTCCATATCCACCAACCCGGTTAAAGCGCCGGACATTCGCTTTTCGTTTTCTCGATTTCGTAAACAACACTCCTGCCACGAGAAGGCAGTGTTACTATTTTGGAACACTGAAATCGGTGGCTCCGGCATGTCCTGGCGGATTACACGTCGTGCATTATTTGCCGATGCTGAGACCGGTTGGAATAATCGAAGGAGATCAGTGCATGACAAAATGTCGTATTACGAAAGAAAGCTGTACAGGACTGGGTCCTGTTAGTCTTACACGACTCCCTTCCTGGTCGGGGTGCAACACAGTGGCTTAAGACGTTTTCATGAATGGCGCAGTATAGAAGTCAGTAGAGATCATACCGTAACCTCTATATTCTTCTGAAAAGTGAGAGTAACTTCTTTAACTGAGAGGATTCTTTCTGGTTTCATTTTTGCTTAACCGAACTGCTAGTCCCATTATTATTATCGTTATTATTATCATTATTATTACTAATTATTTACTATTATTTCACTCTAATACACTAATTTCTATTCATCGTTGTTTTTATTATTCTCACTTTCATTTCTCTTCTTCACGACCTCATTTTTATTTTGTGGTGCATATATATTTGGTGTCTTCTTGTACCAGTGTTCATGTGTATAAATAAATAAATGAATTCAATGTCAATCTAATTTAGAAATATTGACTTTACGTTCAGGATAAGCTATCACAACAAACCACTATTCATAGATGTCATTTTCTGCAAGATTTAGAGTTGACATAAATATACGAGCCATCAAGTATATACAGATTACCTTCGGATTATATTCCACGAGATAACATGGTCATGTGCATGTATTTTAAAATGAAAACTAGCGCGGAAAGTAATTGATGATAACAAACCAAAGGAAGTGACTATTGAACTAACCTTTTTATCACTGAAGGTTTATAGATCATTAGTTTACATGAATGAAGTAGTAGGAAAGCAACTGTATACAAATTCCATTGTACATGATTCAGTGTAAGATTATAATAAATACTATCAAACAGAATCACTCTTTGATTGTACGAAAGTGCCCAACGTATATCGTATAACAAGCGAATTGCAACTGTAGGATCTACTGAACATAATATCTCTTTTCCAGACAATAAACGAATAGCGATTGCTGATCCCAATAAATGAATCTCAGTACGTAATTCCTGAGGGAATCCAAAAGTTTGACTATACTTCAATTTAGATAATACATGTGCCAATTGAGCTAAATGAACGCATGATAATTTGTTGATCTATTAGAAAAAATAGGGTGAAAGGTAACAGACTATCCAACTCATGAAACAAATATAGGTTTATGTACTCGTCCAAGTAAAAGCTTTGTGTGAAAGCTAACAATACTAAGCAGCAGTGATCTAATGATTTAAATTCAAGTCATTTAACTACTAATACACATTACTATATACAAACAGAAATTAACATTCAACAGATTTGCAATGTCATCTGGGTTTTAAAGACTTCGAACTAAGCCAAAGACGCAAAAACTTTTTCATTACCACATCAAAATGGAGTTTTACATCACGTTAATTTAAGGTTAACAATTGATACAAGTTTTGAAGAAGACGAGCATTACTTGTTTTGCTCAATTTTAAAACGGTTCACCAGAAAGTTTTATGTCCATTAGGTGAAACTAATTACTGAACTGACGAAGAAGCGATTTCACAATTTTAATAATTCAGTCTTGTTAAACAAATATTTCGGACAAATAGAGTAATTAAGATACGAACAATGTGAAAGATAGGATTAAAATAGGATGAACGATTGTACACTGCAATAAAAGTGTCAATTAAATAAGACGTTTTCCTCAATTTCGTTGTTTGAAAACAACCACTATTCATAATGGCTTCGATGTTCGGTCATAACTTGATAAGACACATGATTTATGGTCTCAGAGAAAAAAAACATTATGGAATAAGATATGAAGAAAATCTAAATTTAGGAATTCCTGACAACTGAATTCCAATGTTTAACAACAAAATATTGATCGTGTCTATCACAATTTTGCTATCATTAATATATAGATACACAAATGTTACAAGTACTTTTAATTGTTTGTTAACAAAAGTGAATACGTTGAAGCAAGCTCTTGATAAATTTTTCACAATATAGTAAACTATGATATTTCATAGTGTATAACTATAACAGTTGAATGTCACTGAAAGTTTGTGTCTGTTTGACCGAGACTAAAATGAGAAAATTTTAGACTGAAAACGTTGAAGCATTACAGAGGAACTAGGAAGCACTTTCAACTTTGCTGGTCGTTTGAAGCAACTGGTGTAATTAATTACACCCTGTAACTTTATCTGAGGTATTTATGGAGTTTTTAGTATTTTAATGAACTTCGAAAGATATTGCTTTTCGATACGGAATTTCATGGTTCAGTCCTGTTAAAAGGATTTAAAGAAAGTCCTGGTGGCATAAAATATTAAGATAACGCGAATAGACTTTCCTATTAGAATATTTATTGTATTTCATTACAAGCAAATTTAACTGAAAAGTCTGTAACTGCAGCCACGGTCGACGGTTTAAGATGAAGTGGATAAAACTTTTTAATATATATACAACTGTTTTTACTGAGCGTTTTAACCACCAACTACAGTGAACGAAAACATTAAAACTGATAGACTGTTTTTGAGTCAATATAGAACTTTAAATAAGAAAACCGAATGCCACTGTTTATCATATTTTATATTATACTAAAAGTAATCTTTCATTCAGTATGCCAAATTCCACATCACATTTGCATTTAAATACAATGTTCATTTTATTTGAATTCCGATTCAGTAAACACTGTTTAGCAATTGTGTGATAGCCCAACTACACAGACGTGTATATTTTACTAAATAACATTTATTTTGCTAGCCAGTCACAAATCAGTCTAATCCAAGACTCTTCCACAAAAAAAAAGTAGTTAAAAATTACAAGTATTAAAATAGTGATAGAAAAATATTAAAATCTCACCTGATTATTAATATGACGTAGTACTGATGCATAAACTTTTGGTTCATATCGTTCCCAAAAATTTCCAAAATATCCAGCTAGCCTTAGTAAAGATTCAATAGATAAACCATTGGCACAAGCTGCTGTTGTTAATACTAAAAGATCGAATTTTTCCGATTTCATCCAAGAGTAGTCATTATTATTATTATAGAATAGATTACTTCCTACATCAAATTTATGCCATTTTGTTATATGCTCCAATTTTATATAATGTGATGGCCAGTCAACACCAGATGCAATAGAATTTCTTAAATCATTTTGAGCATTACGAATTAGTAAGTCATAAGACTGATTTTGAATTCTTAGTAAAGCTTCTAAACACATCGCACATGCTTCCGAAGGTAGCAACCGTATATCAATGTCCAAAATATCATTAACTGTTGTACTAGGCTACGTAAGGTAAATGATTTTGTTTTAAAAAAGGTAAACTTTAACATTTAATTATACAATAGATAATTTATCAGTGGGAAAAGATGGAGATTGTTGACTACCTTGAGATGCACTAGAAAATGACAGCAAATTTTTTAATAACGAAAAGCCGAATAATCTGTATATATTACGATAGAAAAAATTATGCATAGCGAACATCTAATACCTAGGTACGATCAATTATAAATTTGCACCTATTTGATTCGTCATGGTCTATAACATTAAAAAAGAAAGTAACTAATGAAAATGAGGGCCTAAGTGTAAGAAGAAAGAACAAAGCACAGAACGAAAAGTATGAAAATGGATACACATAAGCACCACTAACATCGACTTTAGGTTGTATCACTAAACTTTCCTAGACATTGATTTACAAATGTTAACCAGATAGCCTACATTCCCCTACACATCTCAAATCAATGGTGGATGACTTTTCACATTGATACTATGTCCTAGTTTATTCTTTAATCATTTTCTAGTCAACAAATTATACTAAGGTACACCGCAATTGGGTTTGCGTAGCACATCTCACGATTATCTAAATCAGTGGAGGTTAAAAATATTATAAGTACTAGATATTCATTACCAAAATGGGTTTTTTGACGAACTCAGAGGTAAACAAGGCTTCAAAGACTCCTTTGCGTCCAGTACTCATAACGCAAGAATGTATTTTTGCAGTTGTAAATCGACAGAGGTTTGATGTAGAAAATACAAACATTTTGTATAGGCATGTGAATATTTCATCTGAACTACAAGTGTCATGAACTAGCAAATGAAAATTTTGCACTTGTAACGAGATCTCGTCAGTTATTAATCCATTAGAGATGAGACTTTCAAGTTTGGCAACAAAGAATTTGTTGAAGACTTAAGGATATAGCAGAATTTTCATGGTTTAAGTTACGGACTGATTTTAGCTTAACTACCATTGAAAACCAAAAAGCACTGGACAACTGTTTCGACCTGGTATGGGACTGCTCAAAGGTGTGCATCCACGACTCCATCATAGGAAACTGACCTGAAGTTCTCCCTAAAACTCCAGGAATAGTGGGGCTCAATCATGTCGAGTGTGAGATAGTTACAAATAACTGATTTTGTGATTGGTGACAGAAAACAACTTCTTAATTATTCGACAGAAATAAGCTGTTGAGTAAGCTTAATTTTAAAATTATTGTACGGGATAGCTTAAATCACATGAAAATAAAATGGTGTAGAAACTTAAAATGATACCGATTAAACTTATACGCAATAAAATAGCCATAAATGTAATATAATTAGTGATGATTGGAATGTAGGAAGTGAAGTTCGTAATCCTCACCAGTAGTTACCATGGTGTGCGCGAGGGCTATGATACTACCCAAATCCTGTGATCCCAATTATCTCCTATGTGACTGGATATAAACCATGATATTCACATTATTGTGAAATGAAATAAATACCTGTGGAAGTAGTTTATTGGTTGATGCGCTCCGCTTTCAACCACTGCATCCCAGATTCTAGCACTACTCAACTTACCCGATTTGGGTAAATGAGTGGCATCACTAGCTCTTACACAAATAGCGTACCTCAAAGCCGAAAAGAAGAACCAGTATGATATACATAAAGTACATTTTCACGACCTCCGTAATAACATGCAAACACCGTAACATTATATATATAAGCTTACATGTGACACAAAGCTTTTTAAATCTTCAATAGTATTTAGATGGGCAATACCATTTTTGGAGTGCTGATCTGAGGTTCTGATAGCAGAATCCAACTTTTCGGTTGAGGAATACGAAAGAAAGTGGTCAGATCCTTTATATTCAAAGCCACTGAAGTCTGCTTTTCCTATCACCAAATTTAGTAAGGAATGGTGAGGGTAAATCAGCTGTCGCTTCAAAAGTTGGGGACATGAGTAATGATTTTTCCAAGCATAATGTTGAGATTTTTCAAGAGTAATTCAGGCGAACTCTGAAAAAAGGCTCTAAGCACTAATTGAAAACAAGCATTTCAATTTCTTGTTAATAGGAGTAGTCGACTTTAACCATGCTGAAGTCATTATTCAGGAATTCCTTGAAGATTCAATTGAAAAGAGAATGAAATAACTTTCAGCAGTGTTGGTTAAAATATACTCAAACCATAAAGCTATAATCCAAGAAGAAAAGTAAAGAATAGTTAAAATAGTTATAAAAACCGTTCACTAAGAAAAATACAATTTAAACATCAATACCAAGGTTGAACTTGATAGTTTCAAATAAATTAGGCATTTGATAGAAAGTTAATGATCATTATATATTTTGTGATATCCCAATTAGTAGAAATTTGTATTTCTGAAGTTTTGCAACTTGATGCGAATTACTTCTTCAAAGTAAATAAATAAATAAAATAAATTAACACACGTTTAAATGGTAAAAAAGGAACAAACCAGTGTACTATTTAGGCTTGTGTTAATTATTTTAGTTATTTATTTACTTACTATGAGGAAGTAAATTACATCAAGTCACAAAACTTTAGAAATACAAATTTCTACTCATTGGGATATCACAAAATATATAGTTATTATCTTAATTTAAAGACGACAAACCGAATGTATAATCAGCTTTCTTGATTACCTAATCAGAATCTACCATCACCTACATCCAAATTTCACTTACTTTTACTTGAAAAAAATACGCGCTAATATCCCCACACATATATTACTGATTACATACTAAATCTTTTGTGAGAACTTTTACTAAAGCCACTCCAAAACGTTCGTATAAATGCCGAACCGAATTCCACCGAACCAACAATTTACTTTGATATCTAACCGAATATCAAAGATCAGAAAAATATCACGAACTTGACTGGATAACTTTGAATCACTTGTTTGCGACTGAATTATGGTGAATTGTCCCTATCCATAAATTGCAATCAACTAAGTCGCTTCACCGTTCCTTATGCTAGTGATATGTTCCTAGTACGTATTTGTGTAACAAAAGCCATTACAATTTAGCACGTTGCAGGTTCAAACACTGCTCTAGTTACTCTGACGTAGGAAGCCGGGTATTATCATTAGACCTCAAAGTTCAAACCCAAGTATATAAACCTGTCCCTGGTAAATGAGTTACCGCAATTAACGATGTAAAGTTGGGATTACATAAGAAGCTTCCTTTGGAGGAAGGGTTAACAACTGATATCTTCATTCGGTAGCTTCATCAGATTAGCCTATGCTGATACGGATTTGGATGATATTGTATAATGCAGGATGCATACAGTTGGAGGCAAGTTATCGTTACCCGTATTTAGCGTGTTTGCCAGAGATTTAAAAATAAACATCAGATTATATTTGCGACACATATGGAATGAAAACAGCTGCATAATGAGCAGAAAAATATGCTGTTAAATATCTTAACATTCATGAAATTGGAACAACAGCTTCATCTATTGCCAAGTTAACAAATTACTTTGTATTTAACTAGTTTGCAAGTCTCAAAAAGTAATCATATACTTTAACAAATATTTTTGAAATACTAAAGTATTAAAACTTCAAACCCTAACTAACTCAATGTGTTGGTGGTAACACTGAACCCCACTCATGAAGTTAATACCTTGCATATTATTACACACGTTTTAGAGTGTCACCTAATATATACCTTTACAAGATGTATAGTATTCATCTGTTTGTATATTAAGGAAGAAGACTAACAGGAAGGTTGTCTAAATAGGTGGTGGGTTACATTGAACTATGGGTTTTGATTGCACGCTATTACTGATGCAATCGACTTTAAAGGGGCAGTGATCTTCAGAATCTTGTGATTTAGCTTCGCTTTTGCGATTTTGGTTGTTTCTTGCATCTTTTAGAATAGTGTATTCATGTCGTACTGACCTAAGTAGCGGTTAGGTTTCCCGGCTTTCACCCGGGCGGCCCGAGTCAGACTCCCGACACTGGAGAGTTCTACTTCGAAGGCTCTAGTACTACCGAGGGTGGAGAGAGTCCGCTCCCCCTCTCGAAATGCCCTCACATGACGTGTATGCAGACACTATCAGTGAAGTCCTACTCACTGCCTTCTCGTGGCAGGAGTGTTGTTTACGAAATCGAGGAAACGAAAAGCGAATGTCCGGCGCTTTAACCGGGTTGGTGGATATGGAGGGTTCACCTAAGGGAGTTGGAAAACCCTGATTCCAAACCAATGGTGCACATGGGCTCCAGTATCCTGAGGGAACAAGTGGCGTATGAACCTATTGTTGGTCACCGGCTACTATGGGACTGCATATCCCAAAGTTGTCCCACTGCCTTGTGGATTAAACCTTCAGATCAAGATTTCGGGTGTGGCTACCTAAGAAAACCACCTGCCTCGGTTTGGGCACCTGGGCAGTATCAAAGCCCTCACACATATTAATAATAACTGCTACTGGTCTCATTGTTGTTGTGTGGCGCATATGTATTTGGCACCCCCTCGTACCAATGTCTGTGTTCAAATAAATAAATAGATAGCAACGGGAATCCTTGCATCCACAAGAAATATAGATGACGACAACACTACGGTCAGTGTTGTAAGTGCGACTAAATGAAGAACTAAACATCCAACTTAGAAGGGTGAAAACAAGTAACTTCTGACGAACCGCATGAACAGTGGAATGACACAGAGCGGTTGTGAAGTTGGTTCTTAAAACATTTCATCCGAAAGCCCAAATAAAACCATCATCTACTTAGAGTTATGGTCCGAAAGTCGTCAGTGAAGAACGGAAATTAGTGTGGAATGAAATAAGAGACTTCCACTAACATTTCGCCGCCCCCCAACTGGTCAGAATTCTTTGGGCAGGTCTCATTTTTATTAACAGAATACCTTGCCAAAACTCCAAAGTAGAAATACAAATACGCCTGAACAAACAGAAAGAAGACGGGTTTCCATGAATATGATTGGGGAATTTGATTAAGTCAGATAGCTCATCCTAAAATTAAACAAATTCTTTGGAAAAGGACAGGATATTTGCTGAAAGCACTTTACCAGATAACTCAAATGAAGTTTAGGCTAAAAAAACTGGTAAGAAAAAGTGAGACGATTGTGGAAAATGCTGACCTAGGACTAAGTAGACTGTCAGAAGTGATTTTAAGGTTGCAGGTACGAAGAAATCCGCTGACTAGTGTTCGAAAGCAAAATAGTGATGATACTCGAGTATAACCTAGTATTTCACTGAGTCACTTCGGCACTTAAATATGTCTAGAGTATCAAACCCATTGGCGAGGCCGCATTCAGAACATGGGATTTAGGCAGCGAGCCTTCGTATCAAACATGAATCGGATATGTCTAAGGGGACTAACGACGAGGGATCTAAACAGTGAAGAGTCTCTCATGTATTATGAACGTATATTATGAACACAGAATTCACAACCTACTCCTGCTCTTACTGCAAGTTATTACGTTGTTTAATACTGGCTTACAGTATGCTGAAAGATGATTTACGTGACGTTTAAGATTTCCTTTTGATCTTGAACTGATCATTCTGAGATCAAAAATCGGGATCGAATAGTCCAAGCCGGAATTTCCGTTTTTCTCATTGAGTAGAAAACTACTGGAACTCTATGTAAGACAAAATACTGGCATCCCTTGAGGCATCAGAACCTTCACATTAATATGATTTGTGAGGATTAACATAGGTTGCTTGACTTCCCAACCTTAATACTGAAGACTGTCATAGGTGATCTATGTTGAAGTAAAAGCAATGTTACGAAACATTCGTGTGTTTTACAAATACTCAACACGCCTGACAATAAGTTTGTCATTAATGGAGGACATCAGGGAAAAAAATTTGGGTGTAGAATTCAGGTGTTTTGGTAAGCATAGTTCGTTGAGGACGTTTAGTTCCAACCACTGAAAGAATATACAAGGAAAATCTTGTGTTATAGGAGTGAGAGAATTGAAGCATACTTGTTTCCAAAGGATACACGGGAACTTAATTTACTAACATTAATTCAATTGTTTTAGTCTATGGTTGAAGCTATCGCAGACTCCCTATTTCGTGGCGAATTTTGTGTTTTGGGGACATTTTGAAAAAGCCGCACTGGAAAGCCTTTTGGAAATTCCCCAGCTTTTGAGGAATCACCAAAACTTGGTGTTTTCCTCCAAACTTCGGGGAAACTGCCAAATTTTTTACGACAATGGGAAAAAATACAGAATCTACCCGAAATTTCCACAAAACAGGGAGATGGGGATACAATCCGGACTTAGATGTATAAAACTGAGCTTATATGTAGACTTCAGGGTCTAAATGAACACGGAAAAATATACCGAGAGGAGCTGTAATAAACCACTAAAAACTAATGAACATTATTTATATTACGTTGTAGCACCAAGAACCTAAGTGAGAATGTTTTAAAAGCAGAGAATCAACGAGAAAGAAACATTTCGACACGTCAAATATGTTCGTAGCGTATCGTAGTCTACCAAAAAGACAACCAAACACACATTTTTAGTAATACCTACCTAAACGCCACCTCAAGGTCGACTGATATTTTGAAACATCTTTACAACTAATTGGACTCTCAGTATATATAAATAGCACATGGTGATTAGCATTTGGGGGGTGGCTGTTTTGTTGTGCTAATACATGGAGATTCGAGGTTTGTGGATATTTTGAAAGAAACATCTCACTGATGAACCATCTTCAATAGCACTAATCACTATTTCGTAACCAAATAGAAATTTTCCGTTGTGTGTTGGCATTTGCTATTCATGGCCAATGCCACGTATATCAAGTTCTTCGTGTTACCATCATAATTTTATCGATTAAGTTGGAAAGTGCCCACTATTGTGGATGATTCGACTGACGATATGCAGTGACTGACAGTCACTTCCCAGTGATTAATCAACTGTAAATAGATCTCCGTCCTTGAGGAGATTAACCACGACGCGGACCACGCAGTGGCAACGACTCTGACTGTGAAGCTATGGGGAGCTATTTGAATGTTAGAGAAAGATTCAGTTTCCTCGAGATAACTAATAAACGTTACGGACGAGTTCCAAATAGCACGACACCTACATCCGGCGATTCCTGCCGAATACACCCAACCACTATCTCACATTTTTGGAACACCAATTAACGTGACCCTTATTGTGTCAGCAGACAGTAGAAAAATTATGAGCAGACGGTTTTAGAATCTGAGTTAAAAATGCATGTAGCGGCAAATAATTCCGAAAATAAATAGTTCTGTGAGTGTTCGACAGTTGATGCTTATCTCATTAGTTTTGATGGAGACGTTTAGCCGAAGGCACTTGGTCGCGCATCCACAGCAGATTACGAGTGGGTGGGTAGTGATACGCATTTCTGACAACCATCATCCAGCTTAGATTAAACGATTCCTTATATATCGATAGCCTTTAAAAACGTACCTTCGAGCCTCGTCATTTCTGACTTCTGATTTCACTGACTAAACACACTTGGATTGTAAATTTGTTACGAGTAGAGGCGCTGTCAACCTCCGAATACTTGTGGGACCTTTGTACTTAAGTGGCTACGTTAGTCCTATTCACGATGAGTTTTCGATTACACTTGACGATTTTTTGACTAGTTTCTTACAAATAATTAGTTGTATTACCTTAAATTACCGCTATTTATAAACAGTTACAGATAGATAATAATGTCCAGTGAAGCTAGTTTAGCCATTTAACAGCATATGCTCTTGTGATTAGGACAGACATCTAAAGTTTGATATGTTTGAAGGATGATGATCTCGTTTGTCCCAGGATACTGAAGTTTCTGCCTATGTATGATTAAGTCTTATGTAGTTCTTTGTCTGACAGAGTGATGAATTCCAAGCTAGTTTAGTCGAATACAGAGAAGAGAAAGAATACAAAATTTAGAACTAAAAAATTAAAACAAGCGACTAAATGAGAATGCTAATGAGAACGTTGAAATAGGAGAGCAACAACAAAAGGAAGATACGCGGGTGAACTGATGAATACAATGACGTCTTATTCTATGCGCTTACTCATTATCCCAGCAGAAATGGTGCCTCCAATCTTCTCTGCTAATCTGTTGAATAGGCCGTTATTATATTTGCTCCGGATCTTCAGTCATTATGGCCCCATACTTATGATCTTCATCAACTGAGGTCTTTCTGAAGATCAGTGGTTCATCTTGTAATGATGAAGGAGATAGATGACGTTTCCATTTCACACTAATGTCTTGCTGGTAATCATGTCAAAGATGTGTGATAATTAGGTGTATTTGAATTATAGTACGAACTAATAGTCCCAGAAATAACGTAATCAGATCAAGAACTACGAAATAACCACAAACGAATGTACTGTATTTAGAATTTGAAATGAAGCTTTGAACAAGTACAAAGGAATCATTATTTCATTCAAACACCACATCTGCCACAGCCTAAATCAGAATCTAAGTGTCTGTAATCGATTGTACGTCATGTTCTTAAGTTCATCCTGTGTCTGTCCGTCATTCTATTGGATAAAAATCCTATTATCTAGAATGCACTTGAAGATGCTCCAGGTATTCAGAGTTTGACAACGATTTAACCAGTAACACCTTCTAATATGAATCGTACCCACCAAGCGAAATCAAAAGACAGAATCGAGGAAGTTCGAAGATATATTTGATAGGCTATCAATATATCGGGATTGTCTGATCTAATCTGGCTAGCGATTGCAGTTGTTGAGCACAGCATTCCCACTCGTAATCTGGTGCGGATGCATGACCGGGCGCCTTCAGCTAGGTGACTCCATTAAAACACGTAGTCAGCATCCAATGTCGAAAACTTATAGAGCTATTTATTTTGGGGATTTATTTACCGCTACATATCACTCCTCCCTAGTGGAGTAGTGATGACCCTAAGACGTTGCCAACTAGAAGTCTAAACCCAACGAGTTTGTCGTTGGTGAACACTCTTCTGATAACTTGCTAGGTTTAGCAGCGTCTCGTCGTCTTTCCTGACTATAAGGGACCATGAAATACAATATATTAAGAAAAAAAAGTACAATGAAAATTTTTAGTTCCCCGTAAACCTCATCGTTCTTTTTATCGTCTTTTCCAGCCGTCCTGGAAAAGAAAAAAAATATGTAAGTGCATGTAGACATAAACTCGTACTCGCTTTAAAACAATAAATGGGCAAAAAATGTAAATAACGCAAAAGTGAATTTTACAAAAAGTTTTTTTGTTTTTGTTTTTAAAAAAATTTTTTTATATACATATTAGCCAAATAATAAATATACATAACTATAAGCATGTTATAAATTCTTTATATTATATATAATGCCATGGAAAATCGAGATGAAACAAAATGTTAATTGGTGTCTTACGTGCAATAGTCATTTAAATGTTCTGGGAGGCTTACTCTTCTTCCAGAACGCGTTGTTTTAAGTTTATTTCCAGATACAGTCGAAGTATCATCGTGCGTGTTGGTTGTCGGATGAAGTGTTGTAAGTGTCGGAGTCGTGTCGTTCGATTGTATGGAGGGAAAATCGACGTAGACAGGATTTCCTTCTAAATACGCTGCTTTTAAGCGATCGATGCTGATGCTATCGTTTGTTCCGTTCTTATCGACCATATAGTACTTAGATTCACGTTGAAGAACTTTGAAAGGCCCCTCGTATGCTGATTCGAATGGTCGTCGATGCGAGTCTGGACGAACGAAAACGTGTGTACTATATCGTAGGTCAGGTTGAACGAATACATCAGTTGATTGAGGTTGGGTGGAGACAGGTTTAACTGAACGCATTGCGTTTGTAAGCCTGTTCGTGTAGGAGGTTAGATCCATGTCCATTGAAGAAGATGAAGGATCCACGAATTCTCCTGGAAGTCGAAGTGTCGTTCCATAAACGAGTTGAGCCGTAGAGTATCCAATGTCAGCTTTAACTGCATTGCGGATACCTAGTAAGACGAGTGGAAGAGCGTCGGTCCACTGTGAAACGTTTGCAGCTGATAGTGAAGCTTTTAGTTGTCGGTGAAAGTGTTCTACCAACCCGTTTGCTTGTGGGTGGTAGCCGTCGTTCGGAAGCGAGCGATTCCTAAAAGTGTGGTCAGACAACGGAAAAGTTCAGATTCAAACTGACGTCCGCGGTCTGTAGTGATGGTTGAAGGGCAGCCGAAGTTTGCTACCCATCGTTCGACGAAGGCGCTGCAGTGATGTCCTTGATAGGCACTGCTTCTGGCCATCGAGTGAAACGGTCAACGCAGCTTAAGAGATAGGAGTATCCATTTGGATCTGGTAAAGGTCCTACTAAATCCAGATGGACATGGTCGAAACGAGCATTGGGAGTTTTAAATGAGCCTAAGGGACATTTATTGTGTCTGATAACCTTAGATTTTTGACAACTTACACAGGAACGTGCCCACTCCCCCACGTCTTTATTCATGCCAGGCCAGCAAAACCATTCTGCTATAAGCTTGATGGTTGCACGAACACATGGATGAGAAAGTTTGTGCAATGTATTGAAGACATTGCGTCGATAATGTTTCGGCACGATTGGGCGATCCCTACCTGTAGATGTGTCACAAAGTAAGGTTTCCTTACCTGTGCCTTCTTTTTGAAGCTGGGCGAGTTTAAGAAGGTCGATTCCTTGGAAACTGTTCAAGGAAGTTATGCGAGACAAAGTGTCTGCAACTACATTGTTTGCTCCAGAAATGTGTTGGATGTCTGAAGTAAACTGCGAAATGTAGTCCAGTTGTCTAGACTCACGAGTGAGTACTTGTCTGAAGAGGAGCTTAAGGAGAAAGTAAAAGATTTATGGTCAGTGAATAGGGTAAATTCACGGCCTTCGATATGATTTTGAAAATGTCGTACAGCACAATACATAGCTAGAAGTTCCCTGCCGAATGTGCTGTACCTCGATTTGGTGTCTAGCAACCGTCTAGAGGAAAATGCTAAATGTTACCTAGAGTGGTTAACCCATTGTTGTAAGACTCCTCCGATTGCTGCGTCGAATGCGTCTACTGCGATACTAATAGGTGCTTCGGTGTCCTGATGTGCGAGCATTGTTGCTTTAGCAATACGTTTCTTAACTGTGGAGTATGCTTTACCTGCGGTGTCGTCCAAATTAATGGATTTCGCATTTCCACGAAGTTCGTCGGTAAGAGGTTTCATGAGTAACGCGCATTTAGGTATGAAGCGTCTATAGAAACTTACAAGGCCGTTAAACGTTCGTAATTGCTTGATCGTGGTCGATTCTGGGTAATTCAGAATGGCCGCCACTTTGGTTTTAAGTTGTCTAATGCCTTGTGCATCTATGGTGTGTCCTAAGAAGTCCAATGAGTCAGTTCCGATTTAGCATTTCTGAATGTTTACAGTAATGCCATGTTTTCGTAGTCGGTCGAAAACAAGATCCAGATGCTTGAGATGTGATTCTCTGTCTGGACTTGCCATTAGGCAGTCGTCAACGTACGCATGTACGAAGTTGAGACCTCGAAAAACGTCATCTATGAACCTTTGGAAAGTCTGGGCAGCGTTCCTTAGACCGAAACGTATTTGCGAAAATTCGTAGTCCTAAGGGAGTGATGATAATGGTTTT